CTCGTGTATATTGTTTTTGTTTCTTGGTGTATTCAGTTTCGTATGTTTGGATGTCTGTTCAACAGACTCTGTTGGTTTCATTACGTTGTGTATTTTGGTTTTGTTTCTTTATGTATTTCGTTTCGTATGTACATATGTTTGGATGTCTGTTGGTTTGCCTGCCTTGTGTATTTTGTTTTTGTGTGTTTAGATTATTGACTAGATTATTGACTTGACTATTGACTTGAGTGTTGACTAAACCATTGATTAGACTGTTGCCTAGACTATTGACTAGATTATTGACTAAACAATTGATTAGACTGTTGCCTAGACTATTGACTAGATTATTGACTAAATTATTTATTAGATTATTGACTAGACTATTGACTAGAATATTGGCATGACTATTGACTACATTATTGACTTGACTATTGACTAGATTATTGACTTGACTATTAATTAGACTCTTGATTAGACTATTGACTAGACTACTGACTAGATTATTAATTTTTAACTTGAATAATGACTAGACTATTGATTAGACTATTGACAGGAATATTGACTTTACTATTGACTTTTTTTATTTGACTATTCACTATACTATTGATTAGACTGTTGACTAGATTATTGACTAGACTATTGACTAGACTATTGACTAGACTATTGACTAGACTATTGACTAGACTATTGACTAGACTATTGACTAAATTATTGAATTGACTTGACTATTGACTAGATTATTGACTTTACTATTGACTAGAATATTGACATGACTATTGTCTAGACTATTGACTTGCCTATTGACTAGATTATTGACTTGGCAATTGACTAGACTATTTATTAGAATATTGACTAGACTATGGACTAATTATTGACTTTACTTTTGACTAGACTATTGACTAGATTATTGACTAAATTACTGATTAGATTATTGATTAGACTATTGACTAGAATATTGCCATGACTATTGACTTGACTATTGAACAGATTATTGACTTGACTATTGATTAGACTATTGACTAAATTACTGATTAGATTATTGCCTAGACTATTGACTAGACTATTGATTAGACTATTGACTAGAATATTGACTAAAATACTGATATGACTATTGTCTAGACTATTGACTTGACTATTGAGTTGACTATTGACTAGATTATTAACTTGACTATTGATTATTCACTATTCACTAGAGTCTAGTCACTAAACTATTGACTAGACTTTTAATTAATTTAACTTGAATATTGACTTGACTATTGACTAGACTATTGACTAGAATATTGACATGACTATTGACTAATCTATTGACTTGACTATTGACTAGATTATTGATTAGACTATTGACTAGACTACTAACTGGATTATTGACTTGGCTATTGATTAAACTATTGATTGGCCTATTGACAAGATTATTGACAAGATTATTTACTGGATTATTGACTAGATTATTGACTTGGCAATTGACGAGACTTTTTATTGGAATATTGACTAGAATATGGTCTAAATTAGTGATTACATTATTGACTTGAGTTTTGACTAGACTATTGAAGATACTATTGACTAGACTATTGAATAGAATATTTACTAGTTTATAGGCTCGGTTATTGACTAGACTATTTACTAGACTGTTGACCAGATTGTTGACTAGACTATTAACTATGGACTTGTCTGACGACTAGACTATTGACTAATCTATTTACTATACTATTGACTAGTCCATTGACAAGACTATTGACTAGACTAGGTCTATGGACTGCTCTATTGATTATTCTAAAGGCTATTGACTAATATTTTTACTAACTATTGACTAGACTTGTTCTATGGACTACTCTATTGACCATTCTATAGACTATTGACGAGGCTATTGACTATTCAATATACTGGACCAGTCTGTCTAGATAGACTATGGAATAGCCTATGGATGAGTCTATTAGCTGCTATATGTGAAAGTTTATGGACTATACTTTCGACTATACTGGGGACTAGTTACAAACTATTCCATTTGTGCTAGTCTTGTAACTTAAAACATTTTTAAATAAAAAATCGTATATTTTTTTTTTGTGTATACACTCCCATTTATTTGTAAATATATATTTTCAAATATAAATGTTTGTTTTTTTTAGATTTTGTTACTCCATTTTGTTTATAATTTGTTTTATACTTTTACAATATTTAGAATAATTTTTGCTACAATTTAGAAACTTTTAGTTTAATTTAAATAATGTTGATAATTTTGTTTAATTTTAATTTTGTTTTCATTTAATTCCACTATAAACTAAATAAAATATTTATTATAGTAAATATACTAAAAATTAAGTACATTTGTTATTATATATTTTTTATAAATTTTTAAAGAAATACAACATTTAGACTAAAACTAAAAACAAAAACAATTATTTTATAAGGTTTTGTAATATTATTCAATATAAGAATGTGTTTTTTTAGAAAAAAATATTTTATATTATTTTTAGTTTAATTTTTTTTCAACAGCAATATTTATATGTTTTTTGTTTATTTTTAAAAAATTTTAAATCTTAGGCTTTATTTATGCAGACTTTTTTTACTACTTTGAACAGTGTGTTATTTTGTAATTTTTGTGTTAATTTATTTGGGGGTTTATATTTTTTATATTTTTATTTAATTATTTTTTTTATTAAAAAATACATGTTTTGTATATGACTATGTTTCAGTTTTTTTTTATAATAATTTTAAATTTATATATAATATACTATTTTTTAAAGAATATTAAAATAATAAACAATGTTATTTCTTTGAAAAATTTCCAGCAGAATTATTCCAAGAAATGTTACTTTGTATTGAACTAAAGCTCAGAAATCTGTACTTTCAAACTTATATAATTGGCAATGAAACTTTGAAAATTAATATTTTTTTTGAAACTTAAAACTTAATTTGGAATCCTTTTGTTTTGAAATTTAACATAAATAAAATTAAATCAAATTTTATCCAGCTAAACTTGCTTATATCAAACTATTATTTATATTTTTTGAATTTGTTCTTTTATAAAAATTATTAAAAAAAATTTCCAAACATTTCAGGTTTTTATTTAACTTTTGTTTTAATTTCCTTTTAAATGTGTTTTAATTTTAATGTTTTTTTTTTGTTTGTTTTAATTTTGTTCTTTTTTTCTCTAAATCCTGCTGGAAATTTTTAGAATGTTTTAAATTTTTTTTACTTAATAATTTATAAATTTTGTATTAGAATATTTATAACATTTTAATGTGTAAATTTATGTTTAAATTAATTGCACATTTTGTTTTCTGTTTAATAAACAACCCAATAAACAATTTCGAAAAGCTTTTCCGTAATTTTTTTTCATAAAAATACTTTACGTCATTCTAAATTTTCAAGACTATAGACTTCTTGGTAGTTAATACTATTGACTACCCTTTAGTCAAGATTATAGTTTACCCTATAGTGAAGACTACAGACTACTCCATTCTACTATAGTATTACTCTAAAGTCAAGACTATAGACCACTCTATAGTCAAGACTATAGACTACTCTATAGTTAAGACTATAGACTACTCTATAGTCAAGACTATAGACTACTCTATAGTCAAGACTATAGTCTACTCTATAGTCGAAACTATAGACTACTCTATAGTCGAAACTATAGATACCTTAACAAGCCTATAGACTACTCTATAGTCAAGACTATGGACTACTCTATAATTAAGTATATAGAGTACCCTATAGCCAGGACTATATAGTACTATATGGTCAAAACTATAGACTACTACATAGTCAAGACTATAGACTACTCTATGATTAAGACTATAGACTACTCTTTACTACTACTCTATAGTCTAGACTATAGACTACTCTTTACTACTACTCTATAGTCTAGACTATAGACTACCCTTTAGTCAATACTATGGTACTACTCTATAGTTAAGACTAAAGACTATACTATAGACTATAGACTACTCTATACTACTATAGTCAAGACTATAGACTACTTTATAGTCAAGACTATACTGCTCTCTATAGTCAAGACTATAGACTAATCTATAGTCAAGACCATAGGCTACCCTATAGTCCAGACTATATAGTCAGAACTATATACTACTCTGTAGGTAAGACTATAGGTAGTCTGGCCTATATACTACTCTATAGTCAAGAATATAAACTACTCTATGTCAATACTACTCTATAGTCAAGGCTATAGACTACTCTATAGTCAAGGCTATAGACTACTCTATAGTCAGGACTATAGACTACTCTATAGTCAGGACTATAGACTACTCTATAGTCAAGACTATAGACTACTCTATAGTCAAGACTATAGACTACTATATAGTCAAAACTATAGACTACTCTATAGTCGAAACTATAGACTACTCTATAGTCAGGACTATGGACTACTCTATAGTCAGGACTATAGACTACTCTATAGTCGAAACTATATATACCTTATCAAGACTATAGACTACTCTATAGTTAAGACGATAGACTATTCCATTGTCAAGACGATAGAATACTCCATAGTCAAGACTATAGACTACTCTATAGCCAGGACTATAGACTACACCATAGTCAAGACTATAGACTACGCTATATTCAAGACTATAGAGTCAGGACTATAGACTACTCTATAGTCAAGACTACAGACTATTCTATAGTCACGACTATATACTACTCTATAGTCAAGACTATAGCCTACTCTATAGTCAAGACTATAGCCTACTCTATAGTCAAGACTATAGCCTACTCTATAGTCAAGACTATAAACTACTCTATAGTCAAGACTATAGACTACTCTATAGTCAAGGCTATAGGCGACTCTATAGTCAAGGCTATAGACTTCTCTATAGTCAAGACTATAGACTACTCTATAGTCAAGGCTATAGACTTCTCTATAGTCAAGACTATAGACTACTCTATAGTCAAGACTATAGACTACTCTATAGTCAAGGCTATAGACTTCTCTATAGTCAAGACTATAGACTACTCTATAGTCAAGACTATAGACTACTCTATATAGTCAAGACTATAGACTACTCTATATAGTCAAGACTATAGACTACCCAATATTCAAGACTATAGACTACTCAATAGTCAAGACTATAGAGTACTTTATAGTTAAGCTTATAGACTACTCTATAATCAAGACGATAGAATATTCCATAGTTAAGACTATAGACTACTCTATAGTCAGGACTATAGACTACTCCATAGTCAAGACTATAGACTACGCTATAGTCAAGACTATAAAGTACTCTATAATCAAGACTGTAGACTACTCTATATTCAACACTCTACGATACTCTATAGTCAAGACTGTAGACTACTAATCAAGACTACAGACTACTCTATAGTTAAGCCTTTAGATTACTCTTGGGTCTATATTGTTTATTGGGTTTGTAGTTCCATTTAAAATTTAATCCTAATACACGCACACACATATATTTATGACAAAAACTTTTACTTAACTATTTGGCTTTAAACATTTCATTTAGATTAATTTTAATTTTTTTTATATATTATCTTTTTACTTAAAAATCTAACAAACAAAAAAAAAAAAACAATAATAATAAAAATTAAAAAAACAAAATAAGAACAATTACAATTTGATTTATACTCTTAATAAAGACCACAAATATGCTCATATTGTATATTATAAAATATATGTTTGTATGTAAGTAAAAATACAATTAAAAATACATATGATTACAAATTTAATTTAATTTAAATTATTAATTATAACAAACAAACAAATAAACTATGCATGTATACCACAAAATATTTGTTATGATTAAAAATGTATTTATGTTAAATATATTTATTATTACTTTATTGTTTAATTTATTTAATTAATATTTATTGTTTTTCATTATTTTTCTTCTTTTTTTTAATTTTTTTGCTAAAAATGGTTTACATTCTTTGGTTTTACTACTACTTTTTAAAATGTTTTTAATAAAAAGGGTTGTTATTTTATTATTTTCTTTTTTATTTTTCATAAAATTAATTTTATTAAAAATATGTATTTCTTTTAATTAAATTTTTGTTAAAAACAAAATTGGTCCTTTGGTTGTAAATGTTTTTTTCTTTTTTATCTTTTAAGGGCTAAAGGCACTCAAATTACTTTATATATTTTTTTTTTAAATTTTCAAATACTTAAATATTTAAAATATTTTTTTTTTTTTATAGATACTTTCTTTGTTAGTATTTAGTTCTTTTATAAACTAATAAGGCTTGGCCGCATCTTTAGAACGTTTCAATTGCACCTTTAAACGTTTTGTGCCGATTTGAAAGCCATGCATGGCTTGTATGGCAGCGGAGGCTGATAGCGGATTATCGTAGGATACGAAACCGAAACATTTGGACAGATTTGTTTGTTTATCGATAAATACTTTGGCAGATAAAACATTACCAAAAGGTAGAAATGTTGAAGCGAGATCAGTATCGGTGAATTCCTGAGGTAGATGGTAAATAAATAAATTACTGCCTTCGGGTCCTATAAAATAGAGAAAAAAATGATTAGAAATATTAAGACAGATTTAGAATGTAGTTACGTAGAGACAATATACAACGAAAAATTACTATTGACTGATCTATAGATAAGAGTTTTTATTGATATTTGGTCAATCACATATCTATCTATAGACTCATCTGATATATGGTCTTGATTATAGATCTCCCTATTAACCTTAGTATGGACTTTTAATAAAGAATATAGACTGATCTGAAGTTAAAAGAATAGACTGATATTATAGTCAAGACTATAAAATGATCTCTAGGTAAAGTTATAGACTGATCTATAGAGAAGGCTATGGCATACTTTATAGTTAAAGCTACGGACTATAGACTAATATATAGACGAATCTATAGTTAAGACTACAGACTAATCTATAGTCAAGACTATAGACTGATCTACAGTTATGACTATAGACTGATCTATAGTCAAGACTATAGACTGATCTACAGTTATGACTATAGACTGATCTATAGTCAAGACTATAGACTGATCTATAGTCAAGACTATTGACTAATCTATAGTCAAGACTATAGACTAATCTATAGTCAAGACTATAGACTGATCTATGGTCAAAACTATAGACTGATCTATAGTCAAAACTATAGACTGATCTATAGTCAAGACTATAGACTGATCTATAGTCAAGACTATACATAGACTGATCTATAGTCAAGACTATACATAGACTGATCTATAGTCAAGACTATAGACTGATCTATAGTCAAGACTATACATAGACTGATCTATAGTCAAGACTATAGACTGATCTATAGTCAAGACTATAGTCTGATCTATAGTCAAGACTATAGACTGATCTATAGTCAAGACTATAGACTGATCTATAGTCAAGACTATAGAGTAATCTATAGTCAAGACTATAGACTGATCTATAGTTAAGACTATAGACTGTTCTATAGTCAAGACCATAGACTGCTCTGTAGTCAAGACTATAGACAAATCTATAGGTAAAAGTAGAGTCTGATCTACAGTTGCGATTATAGAGTGATTTTTAGTCACGACTATATTGTGAACTAATCTGCAGCTTAAGGTCTGATCTATAGAGTGGTCTATAGTCATGATTCTGAACTGATCCATAGTCAAGACTATAGACTGATATATGGTCAAAACTACAGACTGATCTATGGTCAACACTATAAACCAGTCCAATGCCATGACTATGGTTTGATCTATAGTCACAACTGTACACTTATCAATAGTCAAGACTATAGAGTGATATATAGCCAAGACTATAGGGTGATCTATAGTCAAGACAATAGATTTATCTATTTTCAAGACTGATACTAATCTTTAGCTAACGGTCTGACTATATGGTTTATAGTCGATGCTATAGAGCGGCCTGTAGTCAAGAATATAGAGTGATATGTAGTCAAGACCATTGAGTAATCTATAGTCAAGACTGATCTTTATTCAAGATATATGTAATTAAGAATATGGACTGATCTATAGTTAAAACTGTAGACTGAAATATAGTCACGAGTAGGTACTGATCTATGGCCAGTATATAGTATAAATTAGTCTATAAACTTGTCATTAGTCAAGATTATAGACTGATCTATAATCAAGGTTATGAAAATTGTTAGCGAAGATATAGTCAAGATTGTAGCCTGGTCTATAGTCCAATGGGAAAGATAAATTTAAAATCTTCTCATATTTTTTACTCTTTAAATATGTTTTTTAAAAATTCCCCCTCTTCATTCCCTTGGTAATTTTAATTAATTTACCATGTTAGCCTTTTTTGCAAATAAAATTTATCAAATAAATTCATATCCCTTAGGTCCAGGTATGAAAATTATTATTAAAATTTTAATTTAATTTTGTTCTGTACGGTTTTTTTTTCTCAACATATTTTTCATTTCATAAATATGAAAATAACAAAAGATTTTCAACAACAAGAAAAAAAAACGAATGAACGAAACAAAATCAAATATAAACTAACCTTCAATTTGTTTGCCAGCTACTCCTGCGGCGGCTGCCTGTAGTGCTGATGCCGTTAGGGGTGCTGTAGCTGCAGCAGCATAAGCACCATTGGTCAATGGATTAAGTGTTGGAGCGTATGGTGATGTAAGAGCCTCAGCGCCAGTCCCTAAATGGAAAAATATAATAAAAAGAAGAGATAGAGAAAAAAAAAACACACATAAACATTTTCAATAAATTTATTTTTATTAACATTTTGTAAAGAAATTAAAAAAAAAGAAAGGAACAGACTTGTATTACACAATTATAAGGTGGTTGTGGGTGGGGGTTGTTATACCCAAAATAATTATGTAGTCATTTGTTTAAATCCAAAAAAATGAAACGTATGTTTAAATACCTACACACTTTAGAGTAGACATATACATATACACTTAAACTTACATAAAAATACTTATATGTTGTTGAGCAGGAAATACAGGGAAACAAAATGAACATTAAATAACTTAAACACACATAAACAAATAAGGTTGTGTAGATTAAACAAAAGAAACAAAGAAATTAAAACAACAAGGGACAGCTGAAAAATAACCAGGTTTCTATTGGGAAAATGCTTACACACACACAAGAAACGACATACATACATAGGGAAAAGGTTATTTAAATTGCACATACATACACAAATTAATATAAGTATCCTGTACAGTGGGAAACATTTAAGGATAAACAAAGATATTTACTCATACTTAAACAATATCGACTGATTTACAGATACTGCTACAGTACTCTAATTTTCTGTTCGTCTGTCTGTCTGTCTGTCTGTCTGTCTGTCTGACTGTCTGTCTGTCTGTCTGTCTGTCTGTCTGTCTGTATGTCTGTCTGTCTGTCTGTCTGTCTGTCTGTCTGTCTGTCTGTCTGTCTGTCTGTCTGTCTGTCTGTCTGTCTGTCTATCCGTCCGTGTGTCCATGTAAACTTAGACCCATATTAACCCCCTGACCCCATATAACCTCTCTTTTAGAAAATCTCTTATTTTTCTCTCTTTTATCCACTTTTTAACACCATGTCCGACTATACATTCTTACTTGTTTCTGTTTGAGAAAGCGTCTTAACAGATACGGTTCGCTTTTTGTTACTTTTCTGATTATTTTCTCACTCACTGTAGATTTAAATATGTTCGTATGTCTATATGTATTAGTATGTTTTTATGCGGTACTTGTTTTAATTTGTATGAACTTTTTTTTTTTCTAATTATACAAATACAAGTGTATAATAATTTAAGTTCTTATTTTTACATCCATCTATTATATGAACAAAAAAAGTAAGAAATTATAGTCGGCCGAGGCCGATCATTATAATACCCTACACCTGTTATAAAAATAAAATGTGATTTAGCTTTCATAATATTTAAGTTGAATTGTGCCTTAAATCAGATATACTTAAGCCATTTATTGTTGAATAAAATTGTGGACGTTTAAGTTATATTTTGAAGAGGGCTTTGTATAGGGGCTAGGGTCAAATAAGGCCCTATCATTATGGAAATCATCAGGGTTATCCAGGCTAGGATAGAACTTTGTTTTGCAGCTTTTTTTGACGAGATACGAGTATATTACATATAATTATATACTTAAAAGTCTTATTCGGCGGGTTCAGTTGTATGGGGGCTAGGTGAAATAATGGTCCATTTTCAATAGGCTTCGTCGCTAGTACATGCGACAAGGTCAGATGGACGGACAGACAGACAGACAGACAAACAGACAAACAGACAAACAGACAGACAGACAGACAAACAGACAGACGGACGGACGGATGGACATGGAAAATGATTCTAAGCCGATTGGTATACTTTAAGGTATGTAAAGAACGAATATTATTGTGCGTTACAAACACCAGCACTAACCCAATATACCCACCCCACTAAAGTGGTGCAGGGTATAACAAAAGCAAAATAACACAACTCAACACATACTAAATCAAATGCTCATACACATGCATATATATGTACATTAGAAGGGCTCTAATTATATAGAACAGAAATATGAACAATATATCATCTGATTAATATCAGATTCTCTTTAACATAAGGAATCAAAAAGTCGATTATGGAAATTTTTTCATCCAGGAAAAATCCTTATTTCAAGAGCCAACCTAATCTATAAGGTTGTAAATACACTCACTACTCATCTACCAGCCAACAGCACTAAAACAAAAGAAACAAACTTATATAAAAGGAAAACTTAAAAAAAGAACTGTTTTTTACAATTTTAAGCATCTCTTTGGGAATGTTTGAGTGTGAGATACAAAATTTTCAAATTTCATATTCTTTTGTATGAAAATATCAACAAAAAAAAAAAGAAAAACAAAAGAAAGCATGATATACAAAAAAAAAAATATATTACACAAAAGGATTTAAAATTGGCGTTCAGTTGCATAAAAGGTTGTATATATTATTTTGTATTTTTTTGCACTACTCATGTAATATTTTTTTCTCCTTATTTTGTTTTATTTTACATTGTTGTATTGTTGTTTTTAATTGAGGTGCTTGAATAAATAAATAAAAAAAATATTTATATATAAACTTTTTTTTTTGGAATATTTTATAATCACGAAAAACTCAAAAGAACTCGACGTGTTGTTGATATTTATGTACGTACAGCACAGGTATTTTAAAAATAAAATAAAGAAATTTATAAAAAATGGAAAAATAAAACTAAAACCACAAAATTATTATAAAAAAATTCTTAAATGAACAAATTACTATGAATATAAATAAAAACAGCCCCTTAGATAGCAGAAATTAATGAATTTTTAAAAAAATTGCCCTTAATATAGTTATAAATAGTTTTATAGCAATTATCCCCTAACGGTTACTGATTTTTTCATTAACTTAACAATTTAATAATAAAACAAAATTTTATTAAATTTTTAAATTTCAACCTTAACATTCTTCTTATGTTGCTGTCATCATAGTTAAATTCATACAAAACTCTAGCAAGATATTGTTTTTTCAACATTTAATCTGAAAATCTTTGACAAATGTTTTAGTCCAAAAAAATAACTAAATTTTTTTTTTTAATTCCACTTCACTAACACCTGACTAAAACTGGGGTTGCCACTAAAACAAAAGACATCAAAACATTCAAAACATACTGTTCTTCCTGTGCCGTAAATATTTACCAACAAAGTTTTTCTATCAACAAAAAATACACTACCAAAAAAACAAAAACAGTCAATGTTCATGATTAAATAAACAAATCTTTATGGGTTTTTATTCTATACCCACACATCCGTTTTACAAATCCTCGTGTATGGACTGAAAGTCAACTTTAATACTCGGGGAAAAAATCCCAACCAACTGACAACGACCAAGAGTAACCATCAATGCCACTACATAGTACATACAATCTTAAACTCTGACTCCTGCATTTCAAGTGGCAACTGACTAAATAATAAAAACAACAATAACAGCAAATAAAAAATCAAATCTAAATTTTTGTTTTAAAAACCGAAGCATATACACACATACGTAGAGTATATTGAAAGTTTTTTAACTGTAAAAACTAAATAAAGAGAAAAAAGAAAATTTTTAGAGAAAATCCAAATTTATTCACACATTGAAGAAAATTCATTTTTAGCTTTAAAGCAGCCATGGGGTTTTTAGTAAATGTACCTGGAAATTAAATATTTGTCACGATGTCAAACTGAACTAGAACTGAACTAGAGCTGAACTAGAACTGAACTAGAACTGAACTAGAACTGAACTAGAACTGAACTAGAACTGAACTAGAACTAGAACTGAACTAAAATTGAACTAGAATTGAACTAGAATTGAACTAGAACTGAACTAGAACTGAACTAGAACTGAACTAGAACTGAACTAGAACTGAACTAGAACTGAACTAGAACTGAACTAGAACTGAAACTAGAAAAACTGAACTAGAACTGAACTAGAACTGAAACTAGAACTGAACTAGAACTGAACTAGAACTGAATAGAACTGAACTAGAACTGAACTAGAACTGAACTAGAACTGAACTAGAACTGAACTAGAACTGAACTAGAACTGAACTAGAACTGAACTAGAACTGAACCTAGAACTGAACTAGAACTGAACTAGAACTGAACTAGAACTGAACTAGAACTGAACTAGAACTGACTAGAACGAACTAGAAACTGAACTAGAACTGACACTGAACTGAACTCGAATGAACTAGAAACTGAACTAGAACTGAACTAGAAAACTGAATCTAGAACTGAACTAGAACTGAAACTAGAACTGAACTAGAACTGAACTAGAACTGACTAGAACTGAACTAGAACTGAACTAGAACTGAACTAGAAACTGAACTAGAACTGAACTAGAACTGAACTAGAATCTGAACTAGAACTGAACTACTGACTAGAACTGCATAGAACTAGAAACTGAACTAGAACTACGAACTGAACTAGAACTGAACTAGAACTGAACTAGAACTGAACTAGAACTGAAACTAGAACTAGAAATCGAACTGAACTAGAACTGAACTAGAACTGAACTAGAACTGAACTAGAACTGAACTAGAAAAAACTGAACTAGAACTGAACTAGAAACTGAACTAGACGACTAGAACTGAACTAGAACTGAACTAGAACTGAACTAGAACTGAACTACGAACTGAACCTAGAACTGGAACTAGAACTGAACTAGAACTGAACTAGAACTGAACTAGAACTGAACTAGACAACTGAACTACTAGAACTGAACTAGAACTGAACTAGAAACTGAACTAGAACTGAACTGGAACTGAAACTGGAACTGAACTAGGAACTGAACTAGAACTGAACTGAACTGAAACTAGAACTAGAACTGTACTCAATTTGGTGCCATGCAGTTTTTATGAAAAAAGTATGACATTCTTACACTTTTTTAAATTTATTTATTGAACATAGATTTAGCGTTATTCTAGCGATGTTACTATGGTTTTTTAGAATTATTGTTGTTGTTTTTTTTTTCTAATAAAACTTCAAAATCATTTGGTTGTTTTCAGTTCAAAAAAGTTCAAACTAAAAACAAAACAGGTTCTATAAACGACTAAAATGAAAACAAAAAAATCTTATATTGTTTAAAAAGTCCCTCCTGTTATAAAAAGTAAAGTCACAGACAAATTCATACACAAGGAAGAAGAGAAAAAAAGTTAAAAACATATTGTTGTTATTCATTTTTTCATGAACGAAATTTTTGTTATTGTTGTTTATGGAAATATTTTCCTTTTTTTCTGGCATTTTTTTTTATTGTCACCATATCCTGTCGTTGTTGTTTATTGCCAAAGAATATCATTGTTTCGTTTAGCAATTTTGTCATATTTTTAAACTCGAGGAACAGCAGCAACAAAATGTTTTTTGATTTTCATCTTTTGTAGAGAATTTTTGTGTTTCTTTTATTTTGTTTTTCAAATATTTTCATTTATTACATTCCATTCAATGGCTTGTGTTGTTTGTTGTCTTTTTACAATGAAACGTAAAAAATCATGACAAAAAAAATATATTTATTAAAAAAAGAAGAAAAACAAAAAATTTTATACTTTGATATTTAACAGTTTGCAGATTATTATCCTTTATATATACAGAGTTTATTGTTTACTTTTTTTTTATTTATTCGTTTGTCCTTTTTCTATGACGAACATATTTTTTAATATGAAACCATTGAAGAGAGTGTTGAATGGATGCAGGTCGACAAAGGAAAACCTTTAAAGAATATTTTTATTAAAAAAACCAAAAACTAATTGATTAATTTTGAAATACATGTGTAGGTACATGTGTATTAATATCAACGAATTCCAGACGTCGCTAAGATGTACAAACTTTAAATGAAATTTTTGCAAACAATGGCGTCATTATACAAATGTTTCCAATATAACCTCTAACTTTAACACACTACTCTAAATTGTAGCTCATAAATACGTTTATTAAAATTTGAACAATAAATTTGTTTGATACGAAACATGCAAAAATAAAATAGCAGTAAATATCAAAAGAATTTTCGTATTAAAATTGAATATGAAACAAATTTTATTATCAACAAGAATTTGGATATTAGTCTTTGTATATGTAGCTTAATTTGCAGACTTTACTTTGAGTTATTAGCGAAAATTTTTTTTTATTCACAATAAACTGTTTTGTGTCATATTTTATAGGTCAATGACTTTAAAATAAATCAGCAAAAAATCATCAAAATTTGTTACTTATAAAAAATAGGTAGAAAATTTAACGACTACAGACAGACAGCCACTACACAGCTACAGTACTTTACGAGGACGACGAAATATATTTCTAGTGTTACACAAGGAATCAATAAACTTCCATTTTACTATAAATTTTTACACAAATTTTCCCAAAACCTATAAAGTGTTTGTATAATATTTAACATTATTATAAACCAGATTTAATTTTCTTTTCAGTAATACATATACATATAATATGTCATATCTAAAAGCTTACTATATTGTAAAATAAGTCCTGGAAATAGACCTGAACTGAACTAGAACTAAACTAGAACTGAACCAGAAATGAACTAGAACTGAACTAGAACTGAACTACAACTGAACTAGAACTGAACTAGAACTGAACTAGAACTGAACTAGAACTGAACTAGAACTGAACTAGAACTGAACTAGAACTGAACTAGAACTAAACTAGAACTGAACTAGAACTAAACTAGAACTGAACTAGAACTGAACTAGAACTGAACTAGAACTGAACTAGAACTGAACTAGAACTGAACTAGAACTGAACTAGAACTGAACTAGAACTGAACTAGAACTGAACTAGAACTGAACTAGAACTGAACTAGAACTGAACTAGAACTGAACTAGAACTGAACTAGAACTGAACTAGAACTGAACTAGAACTGAACTAGAACTGAACTAGAACTGAACTAGAACTGAACTAGAACTGAACTAGAACTGAACTAGAACTGAACTAGAACTGAACTAGAACTGAACTAGAACTGAACTAGAACTGAACTAGAACTGAACTAGAACTGAACTAGAACTGAACTAGAACTGAACTAGAACTGAACTAGAACTGAACTAGAACTGAACTAGAACTGAACTAGAACTGAACTAGAACTGAACTAGAACTGAACTAGAACTGAACTAGAACTGAACTAGAACTGAACTAGAACTGAACTAGAACTGAACTAGAACTGAACTAGAACTGAACTAGAACTGAACTAGAACTGAACTAGAACTGAACTAGAACTGAACTAGAACTGAACTAGAACTGAACTAGAACTGAACTAGAACTGAACTAGAACTGAACTAGAACTGAACTAGAACTGAACTAGAACTGAACTAGAACTGAACTAGAACTGAACTAGAACTGAACTAGAACTGAACTAGAACTGAACTAGAACTGAACTAGAACTGAACTAGAACTGAACTAGAACTGAACTAGAACTGAACTAGAACTGAACTAGAACTGAACTAGAACTGAACTAGAACTGAACTAGAACTGAACTAGAACTGAACTAGAACTGAACTAGAACTGAACTAGAACTGAACTAGAACTGAACTAGAACTGAACTAGAACTAAACTAAACTAGAACTGAACTAGAACTGAACTAGAACTGACTAGAACTGAACTAGAACTGAACTAGAACTGAACTAGAACTGAACTAGAACTGAACTAGAACTGAACTAGAACTGAACTAGAACTGAACTAGAACTGAACTAGAACTGAACTAGAACTGAACTAGAACTGAACTAGAACTGAATTAGAACTGAACTAGAACTGAACTAGAACTGAACTAGAACTGAACTAGAACTGAACTAGAACTGAACTAGAACTGAACTAGAACTGAACTAGAACTGAACTAGAACTGAACTAGAACTGAACTAGAACTGAACTAGAACTAGAACTGAACTAGAACTAGAACTGAACTAGAACTGAACTAGAACTGAACTAGAACTGAACTAGAACTGAACTAGAACTGAACTAGAACTGAACTAGAACTGAACTAGAACTGAACTAGAACTGAACTAGAACTGAACTAGAACTGAACTAGAACTGACTCGAACTAGAACTGAACTAGAACTGAACTAGAACTGAACTAGAACTGACTAGAACTGAACTAGAACTGAACTAGAACTGAACTAGAACTGATCTAGAACTGAACTAGAACTGAACTAGAACTGAACTAGAACTGAACTAGAACTGAAACTACAACTGAAATAGAACTGAACTCCTCCAACCTTTCCAAATATATTCAGAACTTCTTAATTATATTTCAGAAAATTCAAAGTGCGACTTGAGAATTTCTGAATTCAGTAAGTCACTCGCTAAGAACAATATGTGTCGATTAAATCCATACAAACGAAAAACTTAAATCATTCCAACAATTTTTTTCAAAAAATTACTTTGGAGATCATAACTGGTTGTATATTTTTGTTTTGCTCAGTGAGAATAATAGCTATAGGCTTACATTTACATCATAGATACACATACATACAAACATATTTCAAAAATATCCATAACTGCTTCGAATGCTGTAACCTGTTAACATATTTAAAATTTACAGAATTTTCAAATATCTGCTTTGCTATAAGTTGTTATTAAATTAAGTTGCATATTATGGTAATAAAATAGGACATTTAGGGAAAAGGAAAAGAAAAAGTAAAAAAAGAGGAGATAAAAATACTATTAATTAGCTTTAAAAGCATGCAATACTAAAGGGGGTGCATTAACTAATTACACACTTAAAACACAAATACATTACAAACAAATAAAACTATTAAATGTTTAGCAAAGTCATTTAATTAAAAACTAAAATTGAAAAAAAGTATAAAAAATTGTACTTACATAAAGCGTGATGATGACCAGTGGGACCAGCAGCAGCAGCAGCAAAATGTGCAGCTAATGAGGGGGGTGTAGCGGCGGCCATAGACATTTGGTGAGCAGCGGTTAGTTGAGCCATATGAGCTTGATGCTGTTGTTGCTGTTGATGATGATGATGGGCTTGCTGTTGTTGCTGATGATGCTGATGCACCTGGGCTGCATTAAATGTAAGAGCCTGAGAAGTGGGTACACCATGATGCTGGCTAGTAGCACCTTGAGTAACATGTGCGGATTGTACTGTGCCGGGATTCAAAGAGGCTAAGGTAACCAGATTTTGCATGGAAATGGGGGTGGCCAATAGTCCGTTGCCAGGAGTAGGGTTGTTGGTGGCAGCGGCGACTGCCGAGGCCGATAATGAAGCAGCTGTGGTACTATGATCCGGTGGGAAATTTAGTCCTGATTTTTTTATCCATTTTTTTTATTTTATAGTTTTTGTATGTATTTTTTTTGTAAGGAATTTTTGAATTGTGTTTTTTTGATGGTTTAAGGTTTATATATAGTTTTTTTTTATACATGACCACACAATCAAGTCAATCATAGACATACCAACAAAATGTATTTTGAACGAATATAAAAAACATAGAAAGAAAACACACCACCCAATTGGATTATTTACATTACAAATAAATTAAATAAAAAATCAAAATAATAATAAAAAAATAAACAATAATAATTTAAAAAAATTCCTTTATCTTTAAAGTATTTGCAAATAAGTGTTAATTTCATAAGTAAGTTTTAAAGAGATTAAAGTTTTTAGATACAAATTTAATTCAAGAATTTGTTGTAGAAAATATGCTAAAATTCCAGTTGCTGTATTAGTTCTGTTCAATATTTCTGGTCTAGTTCTGTTCTAGTTCTGTTCGAGTTCTGGTGCTAGTTCTGTTCTAGTTCTGTTCTAAGTTCTGTTCTAGTTCCTGTTCTAGTTCTGTTCTAAGTGCTGGTTCTAAGTTCTTGTTCTAGTTCTGTTCTAGTTCTGTTCTAGTTCTGTTCTAGTTCTGTTCTAGTTCTGTTCTAGTTCTGTTCTAGTTCTGTTCTAGTTCTGTTCTAGTTCTGTTCTAGTTCTGTTCTAGTTCTGTTCTAGTTCTGTTCTAGTTCTGTTCTAGTTGTGTTCTAGTTGTGTTCTAGTTGTGTTCTAGTTGTGTTCTAGTTGTGTTCTACTTGTGTTCTACTGTGTTCTCTGTGTTCTACTTGTGTTCTAGTTCTGTTCTAGTTCTGTTCTAGTTCTGTTCTAGTTCTGTTCTAGTTCTGTTCTAGTTCTGTTCTAGTTCTGTTCTAGTTCTGTTCTAGTTCTGTTCTAGTTCTGTTCTAGTTCTGTTCTAGTTCTGTTCTAGTTCTGTTCTAGTTCTGTTCTAGTTCTGTTCTAGTTCTGTTCTAGTTCTGTTCTAGTTCTGTTCTAGTTCTGTTCTAGTTCTGTTCTAGTTCTGTTCTAGTTCTGTTCTAGTTCTGTTCTAGTTCTGTTCTAGTTCTGTTCTAGTTCTGTTCTAGTTCTGTTCTAGTTCTGTTCTAGTTCTGTTCTAGTTCTGTTCTAGTTCTGTTCTAGTTCTGTTCTAGTTCTGTTCTAGTTCTGTTCTAGTTCTGTTCTAGTTCTGTTCTGTTCTAGTTCTGTTCTAGTTTGTCTGTTCTAGTTCTGTTCTAGTTCTGTTCTAGTTCTGTTCTAGTTCTGTTCTAGTTCTGTTCTAGTTCTGTTCTAGTTCTGTTCTAGTTCTGTTCTAGTTCTGTTCTAGTTCTGTTCTAGTTCTGTTCTAGTTGTGTTCTAGTTCTGTGTTCTAGTTGTGTTCTACTTGTGTTCTACTTGTGTTCTAGTTGTGTTCTAGTTCTGTTCTAGTTCTGTTCTAGTTCTGTTCTAGTTCTGTTAGTTCTGTTCTAGTTCTGTTCTAGTTCTGTTCTTGTTCTGTTCTAGTTCTGTTCTAGTTCTGTTCTAGTTCTGTTCTAGTTCTGTTCTAGTTCTGTTCTAGTTCTGTTCTAGTTCTGTTCTAGTTCTGTTCTAGTTCTGTTCTAGTTCTGTTCTAGTTCTGTCTAGTTCTGTCTAGTTCTGTTCTAGTTCTGTTCTAGTTCTGTTCTAGTTCTGATCTAGTTCTGATCTAGTTCTGTTCTAGTTCTGTTCTAGTTCCGTTCTAGTTCTGTTCTAGTTCTGTTCTAGTTCTGTTCTAGTTCTGTTCTAGTTCTGTTCTAGTTCTGTTCTAGTTCTGTTCTAGTTCTGTTCTAGTTCTGTTCTAGTTCTGTTCTAGTTCTGTTCTAGTTCTGTTCTAGTTCTGTTCTAGTTCTGTTCTAGTTCTGTTCTAGTTCTGTTCTAGTTCTGCTCTAGTTCTGTTCTAGTTCTGTTCTAGTTCTGTTCTAGTTCTGTTCTAGTTCTGTTCTAGTTCTGTTCTAGTTCTGTTCTAGTTCTGTTCTAGTTCTGTTCTAGTTCTGTTCTAGTTCTGTTCTAGTTCTGTTCTAGTTCTGTTAGTGTTCTAGTTCTGTTCTAGTTCTGTTCTAGTTCTGTTCTAGTTCTGTTCTAGTTCTGTTCTAGTTCTGTTCTAGTTCTGTTCTAGTTCTGTTCTAGTTCTGTTCTAGTTCTGTTCTAGTTCTGTTCTAGTTCTGTTCTAGTTCTGTTCTAGTTCTGTTCTAGTTCTGTTCTAGTTCTCTTCTAGTTCTGTTCTAGTTCTGTTCTAGTTCTGTTCTAGTTCTGTTCTAGTTCTGTTCTAGTTCTTTCTAGTTCTGTTCTAGTTCTGTTCTAGTTCTGTTTCTAGTTCTAGTTCTAGTTCTGTTCTAGTTCTAGTTCTGTTCTAGTTCTGTTCTAGTTATGTTCTAGTTCTGTTCTAGTTCTGTTCTAGTTCTGTTCTATTTCTGTTCTAGTTCTGTTCTAGTTCTGTTTTAGTTCTGTTCTAGTTTTGTTCTAGTTTTGTTCTAGTTCTGTTCTAGTTCTGTTCTAGTGTTCTAGTTTTGTTCTAGTTCTGTTCTTTTTCCGTTCGAGTTCTGTTCTAGTTCAGTTCTGCTTTTGTTCTAGATCTGTTCTAGTTCAGTTCTAGTTTTGATCTAGATCTGTTCTATTTCTGTTATAGTTCCATTTAGATTTTCTAAAAATGTTTAATACAAATACAATTTTACTGGTAATTTTATTAAAAGGAAAAGGAAATATTTTTTAAATAAACGTATACATACAAAACAACATAATAATACAAAATCAAAGAAAAAATCAAGGCAATAAATCAAAATTAAACACAAAAAAAAATAAATATTTAAATCAAAAGAAAAAAATAATTATTCAACGTTTACTGTTTGTTTTATGCAAAAATAGAAAAAAATGCTGTTAGACAAAGTAAAACAATTTAGTTTGATTTTTTAACTAAAATACATTAAAAGTTTTAAATTTCTTTATATATGATGTTGCAGTTTTTAAAATTTTTTTTAGCCAAATATAGAGTATTTTCCATTAAAAAGGCATTTTAGTTAATTAGCAAAATTTATATAAAATGTAATTTATGTAGAATTTAATTATAATTGCAATTTGTGTATATAAGATAGAATATTACATAGAACATGAGATAGAGAGAATACACAACACGCACACATTTACTTGGTAAAACTGACATTTAGTTTATTTGTTTACAGGGTACGAGAGAGAAACGTAAAATTGTTTGACACATGCTAACAAAAATTAAAACTAAAACAAACTAACACGAAGAGTTGATGTTTAAAACTATAAAAAAAATTTGTTAATTATCAGTTTTATTAAGCCCAAAATAGTTTTAATTTTTTAATGAAATGCAAATGTTTCGGATCACTTTAGATGATTTAAATTAGTGCCCTAAAGTAGGCAATATATAATAACAAACTTTAACTGATCTTGTTTGCATGCTGAGATCTGTTTACCATTTAAGTTGGTTCCCTGAAATATACTTTGGTTTTATGATCTTTTGTTAAATAATGCAAGTTAAAAGCAGCTATTTAAGATAATTATTTCTATAAAATATTTCTAACAGTAAATTACTTTTAAATTTCAAATTCATTTACAATTTTCTTTTCTCAAAAACATTTTTCAAGTGATTAAACACGCATACCAACTCTTACAAGAATAAATGAACTAAAGCAGCAAAGATTTTGTTTATACTGATGCACGTAGAAGAACCACCACCTCCACTGGCGCCTTTGTTTACCTTGTTGAAAGTATTTTAAGTAGAAAAGAAGTAAGAAAACAAAGAAAAGTTGGATTCTTTTTGTTGATTTTCTATTCAAGTTTTTATTTTAACATTTCGTTTGCATTTTTGTACTTTTTTGCATCGTCAAAAATTCCCTTTATAGTTTAGTACTTCAAAGGCGTTTTTGTAAGTACAATGTCCTTTGAGGCATATTTACACGGAAAGAGATTGTTAAGCTGTTAACTTCCAGCCGACAAGTTATGAGCTTTAACATTGCGAATTAAAATCAATAATAGAGCCACAAATTAAATATAAAATTTAGAGTATTTCAGTAATTTAGAGATTTGATCTTTTCTCCGTGTAGAGGTATTTTACGATCAGTTTCTTTTTGTAATATATTCTTACATGCGTTTAAATACCAAGCCCAACAGGTAATTTAAAATGCTTAGTATCTCCTTCTTTGTTGTTTAGAGCAACTTTGTGTGTTTTTTTCTCAAAGTTCATCTAAAATGTTAAGGGCCCGCAGAAAATTTAACTTGCTACTTTAATTTTTTTCCTCCATTTTCCGTCTTACTGCTAAAATAGTTTTCTTTATTTTTCTCAAACAAGAATTTTTGTTGAGAAATAAAGAAAAAAAAACTAACTCTTGAATGAAAATAGTTTATGTACTTGAAGAAATTGTGGTAATATTTTTATTTTATCGTATAGAAGTTTAGATTATGTTTTATTTTGTGGCAATTAATTTCCGTTAAGGGATCTAAAAAAAACCGTACTGCTTCAGTTCCAGGTCAGTTCTAGTTCAGTTCTAGTTCAGTTCTAGTTCAGTTCTAGTTCAGTTCTAGTTCAGTTCTAGTTCAGTTCTAGTTCAGTTCTAGTTCAGTTCTAGTTCAGTTCTAGTTCAGTTCTAGTTCAGTTCTAGTTCAGTTCTAGTTCAGTTCTAGTTCAGTTCTAGTTCAGTTCTAGTTCAGTTCTAGTTCAGTTCTAGTTCAGTTCTAGTTCAGTTCTAGTTTCATTTCTAGTTCAGTTCTAGTTCAGTTCTAGTTCAGTTCTAGTTTCAGTTCTAGTTCAGTTCTAGTTCAGTTCTAGTTCAGTTCTAGTTCAGTTCTAGTTCAGTTCTAGTTCAGTTCTAGTTCAGTTCTAGTTCAGTTCTAGTTCAGTTCTAGTTCAGTTTTAGTTCAGTTCTAGTTCAGTTCTAGTTCAGTTCTAGTTCAGTTCTAGTTCAGTTCTAGTTCAGTGGCTAGTTTCAGTTCTAGTTCATCGTTCGTTGTAGGTTAGTTC